CTACTAGTTTCACGTTTGGTTCGTCAATGCGAACATCAGCCTCAGTCATTGATCTTGCAGCTGCCGCATCTTGAGTCATGATCATGGACCGCCTTAAATAGATAGTGGTTCTGCCGTCGGCGCTTTCTGGCTCCAGTGTGTGGCGTGTGAACGTGTGCTTTGAGTCCAGCTCTTGGAGCAAAGCCAGCCATTGAAGCGCTTCCGACGAGCTTAAAAAATTCAAAGATGCTCAAAAACTGTGAGAGTTCAAAGGGCTGTGATCGGGCTGAGCAACTCTGGGATGCTGTAGGGACATGAAGCCATCATGAAGCGGTCGTCAAGTCAAACCTTTCTGCACGACTCGCGCTTCGCGGGTCTTCCGAAGTCAACTCTGGCTGGCTTGCTTTTGCGGCATCCAGTGAGGTACAGCTTCGCATTAGAGAAACTGGCGGTTCTGGGTCAATCTGTCCGAAGATCCTTGCGACTCGGCAAGTATCTTCCGGATTTTCAGTTGTGGCTCTCTATGTCTGCAGTCAATCTAAGCAGTTTAGGCCACAGGTCGAACCGCATTTGTTGGTGGTCCCCTGGTCCAAGGCTTGGTGGCAAACTCTGTACGGAGGCGGTGGCAGTCAAGCCTGCTCAGCCCCACCCAAAAAATAACCAAGATACTACCGGTGTTTCGTCCATTAGGGGCAAACAGCTGAGTTGTCTTAGCCATGGCATATAACCAAAGTTCAATGTGGTGTCAACAGGTTGCACATGCGTGCGCATGTCCTTTTTGCTCACGCACGCTGTGGCGACCCTGGGAGTTTTGGCGTTCTTCTGCCAGTGGCCCTCCGAATTCGTTTGGTTATAACAACTATCTCCTCAATGGTCCCCTGATTTCATGTGAATTCAATCGCATACCTTCCCACGCCTGTCACGTGTTTTGGGAGGGTGTGGGCTGGAGGGGAATAACTCCCGGTATCTAATGTATTCTGCCGTTAGAATACAAATGATCTGTGTGTCATGTCGCATGAAGACATCGTTGTCTCCATTACATGAGGAAAATGTTTTGACGTGCCTTTGTACGTTAAATGAAAATTTGAACGTTTCCCTTTGGGGATGGGCTGGGGGACAATAACGCTTGGTATTTGCAGCGTTCTGTTGTTGGAAAACTAAGAATCTGAAAACACTCGGGCGTCTTGCAACTAGCACCTTTCCTTGAAACATCCCCTGGTACTTTTTGGGAACCGATTTTCATTTTACAATCCCACTGCAAACGGGACTGGAACGCAACTTTCATGAATTCATCAACTTTTTATTGTAAAATGCTTTACTTTGTGGGTGGGGTCGTTGCGGGCGACATGACTATAAATTTTTGAGGTGTCACTTAGCCTGCTTCAAAGTGATTCAAAGGGTTCATGATAGATTTATAGAATCGATTAACATGTGTACACATTTTGGCATACACATAAACTGTATATAGAATCCAACCTACATGGGTTCATTGGAGTTGCTGGATGTTCCTAAGGTCTCGATCTCGCTCCTGGAGATCGGCAGGGTCCCGATCACTCAGCGAGGTGGTTTGGCCAGCGCGGTCGGTGCGAATTGTTCCATGAACCCTCAAAACCATGAAAAAGGATGAAAAAGGAAGGTTTTATCTTACGACCTGTTTTTTTTGCGGTTGTGGGTTGAAAAACCCGGTTTTGGGACAATGATTTCCGTTGTTTTTTACATGGATGTAGGAGACCTTGGTTCCCAACACCGTTGCACACATCATCTGCACAGAAAACAACAATCACAGCTTGATGCATGTACATATTTGGTATTCAAACACATCATTGATTCGCTGAAGGAAACAAACGGTGTAGCTGTAGTTATTGGAAGTTGCTAATTGCTCATGCGAACACAGCACGGGAATCATCACAACCTTTTAAGGGTCTTCATTAAGGAGTTGTTCAAATGCAGGAAATATCCGGGAATATTATATGGTTAACTTGAACTTATAACCTAAAGGTCATAAGTCCGTAATGCAAGAGCAGATTACTAGTAACTCTGGTTTCAGTCACTTAACCTTGGTAAAGGTTCGAATTGATTCAGCTTGGAAATGGTTGTATAACTCTAAAATAGAGGTTATAGTGAGTGCTTAGGTCTGACTTGGCTACATCAAAGTTAAGTCACAATAAGCTTAACTTGGACTTAGCTTGGACTTAGTGAGTCCAACCCTTGCCCGACCTAAGTCCAAGCTGAGTCCAAAGTAAGTCTAAGCTAAGTCCTATAGCCAATCTGTCAGAAAAGTTTTTGACAATGCCGCATATTCCTTTTAAGCCTGAAGTACAGGGAAGAACTGTCAGACAATTTTCTGACACATATTCCTCAGTAAGATTTCGAAGAACTTTCAAAAGACTCAGCTGGGACTTGGCTTAGGCTTCGCTTAGACCAAGATTGAGACTTGGCTCGGATCGACATATAATGGGAAGCCCAACCTAAGTTCAGCCTAATTGATTTATTCCAAATCCAAGCCACGTCTACCTTAGCAAAGTCCAAGCTAAGTCACTACTCGTACTAAAAACTTATAATATGTCTACCTTGGACTTAGCTAGACTTAGCTAGCCCTCGACCCAGCAAGCATCCCTTTGGGCTGCGATCAGGAACGCTCGGATCAGGCCAAGAGCATTCAAAAGCTCTCAAAACCCAGCATCCCAGGATGTTGGAAACTACGGGAAGACTACGTAAAACTACGTATTTTCCCACAGTTTTAATGGGTTGTCCACAGGGTTTTTACGGGTTTTCTACGGCTACGGTTTTTTTTTTACGGGTCGCCTACGGGAAAAACCCGGTTTTCCACCCTGCGGCCTGTTCCAGTGCTAAAACTTACCGCAACATGCATTGCAAATCTCACAAGCGCCAACCTGTGGCCTCACAAGTCTTCTGGCACTGGGTGACCCCTCCAAGATCCGCGATCCGAAATTGACATGCCAGCGGAGGTATTTGTCACATTCCACCTGACCTGTATTTCCACCTCATTGCTGATGCGTTCCTGGAGAAGTCTGGTCAACAACTTTTTATTGTTGCTCCAATATCCTTACTTGCCGGGTATATCCTCAACTTTAACTTGCAACCCATATGTAATATAGGTCATAAACCTGCTAACCTACTAGTAATCCTTGTTTCAAGTCTCTTAACCTTTACAAAGATTAGGTTTGATTTAGCTTTGACTTAGCTAACTCTGGATAGTAACTGCTTAGGCCTGACTTAGCTGATTCAAAGTTATTTCACATCCGGCTGACTTGGACTTGGCTTGGACTTGGTACATCCAACCTATGCCTGACCTAAGTCCGAGTCCAAACCAAGTCCAAAGTAATTCCAATCTAAGTCCTAGAAAATGTTGATGGAAACAAGTTTTTCACAATGACACATATTCCTTTTAAGCCTGAAGTGCAGGGGAAACCCTGCCAGATAGTTTTCTGACACACATTGCCTTTACACTGAAGTGACAAGTACAGTCAAACAATTTTGTTGCACTTTCCCCTTCAACATTTAGCAACAAGAGGTGTCGGAAGACTCTTCTCGGAGTTAGCTTAGACTTAAGGTGTGCTTGGCTAGCGGCTAGGACTTAGGAAGCCCAAGCTCAGTTGAGCCAAAGTCTAATCTAAATCCAAGCTAAATCTAGCTTAGCTAAGTCCAAGCTAAGTCACAAATAAGTAAGTACATATTTGTTCCCTCAGACCTAGCTAGACTTAGCTAGCCGTCGACGCGGAAACTGTTCTGCAGTTGCAGGGTGAAAAGCACGTGTCCAATTGATCAGCCGCTACAATTCATGGTTGCTTTCAGCAGCACAAAATCCTGAAGTCTCAAAAACCTTGTTTTTGATATCCCCCTCTCAAAAAGATGGTTGTAATGTATAAAACCAGTTTAACAAAAAAACATTTGTTTTGCACCAGGGGTGGTGCCCATGGTTGTTATGTAGTTTGTTTGATTTTTTGTAAGTTTCAATTTTCATCTTTGCATAGTTATAAATTATATATATATTATATATATATTTGCATACAGTATAGGTATATATTGAATTGTTTGTTTCCTCATTATTGAAATACTGGTCTCTAAATAACATGTTCTGTTTTTTGGTACTTTTTCAGTGCTCTTATTCCATCAACAAATATCTCGTGGCAGTCCATTAGGTGGATTGGTCGGACAAAGCATGGAAATCAGAGTCAACTTGAAACTGTGGTGACTTATTTTTGAACAACCACGCACTGTTTCGAACATATTTCAGTTTGAGGGATTTTGGTCGGATTCACCAAGCTCCAGTTGCAACAAAAACATGTTTGGAATCAATCTTTAAATAATGCACAATGTGATTTCATGATTAGAGTCTAGAGTGAAACTTGCAGCAAACGTTTCGTGGGTAATAACTGGCAGTCAGCTACACACAAAGAACATGTGAAAATCAATTGTGTGTTTTCACAGACAAATACTTACATCGACATGGAATGGAACAGGAGCGAAGACCAGTCAATCATCATGCTTTGCATGGTTTTATGTGCATGATCCATGGTTTGTTTTGGGAGCAGTTTCAGTGGATCGGCGTTGACTGGTTTTTGTTTGGTCAACAGACCATCTAGGCCACAGGAACCGGCGACGCCCATCCTTCGGAGCCGGTGGGCGACCATGTGTTCCGAACCCAAACCCCCACCCAGACGCCATGTATGGTATATTACTACATTGACCCCAGTCAACCACCCCTGGCCGTGCCACTCGGCAGTCCGACAGGGCAGTCCCATGGAGTGTTTGGGATAGGGATCGCTATGAATGGAGCAAGGACGTTCCTGGCCTGGCTGTCGCTATACGCGACCCTCAGGTTCCGTACGACTGGACCCGAGAGCGGCTGGCACCTATACAATCAGAGTGTCGGTCTCCTTCCTCACTGTACCCGAGGTTCGGCACAATCTGGATCCCTATACCAGCACCTTCCAAATGGAGGGTTGTTAGGCCCGAATACAGGTTTCAATTGCTGACCGGACAATTCAGTGCTGGGCCCGGGAGCTGTACGGTTGGGAAGGCTCGGCATGGCTCGGCATGGCTCAGGGCGCGGGCGAAGTTCCTTCAGCTGTTCCTTCGCTCGTCGAGTGGCTGGAGGACCATTTGTCGGGCCCAACAGCGTGAGACAGCGGTGCGACCGGTGCGGTGCTTTAGTTTGGGTCCGGCCGTACACACTCGCTGAAACAAGCGAAGTGGAACATCACGTAGAGGAAAATGGGTGAACTTGGGGCCCATGTTCCACATGATGGGTTTTATTTCAGTTTTATTCCAGTCACCTATGTGTACAGCGGCAACCAAGCTAGGGGTCGACATTGAGGTGGCAAGGAACAGGAGTGGTGTAGGAAGAACCCAGTGGCTCCGTTCAACGTGGCCGTTTCAAGCAGTCTCCGGTCAGACTGTCGGACCGCGGAGCCATGTACTCAGGAGCATGGTGAAACCCACGGATGGATTCGCAGTGTTCAGGGCTTATATATAATTTCAATGATACAACGAGAAACCCTGTACACAAAGAATCACAAAGCATCATATACTGATGTATCACATGACGTCACATGATTTTGAAGCTTCACTACCCGATGCGCCAGTAGTTCTTGGTGGTTGGTGTGGTAATCCCAAGGTCACAAATGGTTTCAAGTTGTGGCTGGTAGTGCAGCAGTGCATAACTCTCCACCTCACATACCACCCAAGCGGGTCCAAAGACACTGAGGGTCCAAGGGTGTCTCTCAGCCAGGATGAAGGCAATCAGAGGAGGATGCCTGATTTGGACAGAGGAAGCGCTGGCAGCAGACAAGCTTTGGTTGGTGGAACTCAGCTGGAAATAGACTTATCACCAGATCCAGATGTCAGCAGTGCTAGTAGCAAGGGTCCAAAGGAAACGACTTCCTCTCTGAGGGAGGACGGCAGAAGGGGAAACATGATCTCCGCTTCAGAGGACTTGGATCCGGTCGGTCCACTGGAAGCGGAACACCGAGTAGGAGCTGCACTGGAAGCGCTTGCTGAAGGCGCTTCGGCCACAGGTCCGGGCAGCAAAGGCCCTGCGGTGCCCGGCAAAGGTGGAACATCAGCAGAGGAAGCTGGGAAGGCTGACGACACACCTGCCAGCACTGCCCCGAAAGCTGGCAAAGGCCTCCCCAAACCAACCAAAGATGGAGATGCCGCATCTGAGGATGAAGGAGAAGCAGCTACAGCAGGAGAAGCAGCAGCTGCAGAAGACGTTAATGCTAGCCACAGCAGCCTGACTGGCAAAGGTCCAGCGAAGGGCAAGAGCAAAGGCCCCCCGCCACCCACAGGTGGACAAGTCGCCGCAGAAGGTGGAGGAGAAGCAGCTACAGCAGAAGGAGGAGCTGCAGAA